GAGAAAGAGAGAGAGAGAGAAGACTGAAATACTATTCTCTTAAAGGTATTCCAAAGAGAAGATAGTAAAATTTCTAAGGAGAAGAGCTTAAACAGAACAAATAATGAATTTCTCTGTTTAACCATTTTTCCAGTTCTCAAATCATAACAGATCTGTTTCTAAGCATTTTCATTATTTTATATGAGGTTCCTAAATTGCAGGTCTTGATTTCACACAGTTGACTTCCCTTTCCTGCATACCATACCAGTGTATGTGACTCACTTGCGTGGTTAATTTGTCATGCACTGAATAGCTCTTCCTGCCCAATCCAGAAAAATCAGTCTTAAAGTTTACTTTCTCTTCTTCTGCCAAAGCTACTCCTCTAGTCCCACAATATTCTGCTTTATTAAATGAAGACAGTTTTGATATATACAACGTATTTTATAATTAAAAAAGACATAGCTGTGATTTTTTTAAGGATTTTGATTCAGTTATGACATTTAAGGGGAAAAATGAAAATTAACTGGGCTAGGATTAAATGCATAGCTGCTAGTGGCAGCCTCCAACGGGGATCTTTCCATCCCTAGGGGCCGAGATTACCTGTGCAGAAAAGAATTCATCAAGAAGAGAAAATGCCATGCTAATTTTAGAAGAAATTCCTTATTACACATCTACTTAAAGAGAAAGTTTGTTTCTGCTTCTATTGTGCAGTTCTCCTTAAATAGTTCAAAAGTTTCTTTCTTGTGTTTGGGGGGGGTATGTTAAATAGTGTTTATTTTGTGTTTTCACAGCTGGAGAACCCCCTACAGTTAGGCATAGCTCTTCTTGTAGGAGGATTGTTTCCTTCTACAGCAGTGACTCATTCTGCAGACTAATTAGGATGGAAAGTATCGGGATTTTCATGCAATCTGGACTGATGCATTCTTTCAGATAATGGGGCTGTGGTCTACCTTTGCTTTACATGCGCGTTCTGATTTGCATCAGGTAAAATTCCACTGTATTTGAGGGTAAATCCCTCAGAGGTGGCCCAAAACAATTTCCTGTTTTTTCCAGCATACCATCGGCATGTGGAATATCCTCACAGATTTCAGGCTAAACACAGCAATGGTTTGAGCAGACTTGTCTCCCATTATGATCAATGGGAGTGGAAAGTACTTGGCGTTTCTCAAGACCAGGCCTGAACCTTTCGCAGGAGGTGGTACTCATCCAAGATACTACCAAACTTAGTTACTGAAATGGTAGTGCTACCAACCAGAGTGAGGGCATCTGCTCAGAAATGCACTATTAAGAGTTTTGAGTACTCCATGAGTGTGTAACTAAAAATATCTCTCCCTTCCACTCTTGGTCTTGTCCACCCTACCTGTCTGACAGGCTGCCTCTTTGTTTCTTTTTGTTAACTTTACCTGTGTGCGTGCTTATTCTACCCTGTTCGTGCTCTCTTATGCAAATGTTAAAAAACCTGGGACTAACCAAACACATTTGAATGGCAGGTTAAAATTCATTCTTATTTAAAATATTTAACTTCCCCCTCTTCCTGCGGTGCTATTTGTATTGTATTAAATACAGGTCCAGATCCTCAAACAGCTAATCACATGGCTTTAACCACCGTGGCCAAAAGAGTTGCCCCATACCCCCACCATAGCTGTGGTGCTAAAAGTCAAATTCCATTTTTCACACAGAGTTAACTTACCATTTCCCAAAAGCTGTGATATCTTCAGATGTAATACAATTAAATTGTCCTGAAATTTTAATTGCTTTGTCCTTCTAGCCATGCTGTTGTTTTGAGAACATACTAATTTCCAGAGGTATTTTAGGTGACCCAAATTACAATCTAATATCCATGTAGGTAGACGTGGAGTAATTCCACTAAGTTCACTGAGGTAACCTATGATTTACGTCAAATTGTTTGGCCCATGGCCTCCCCTAGTCTTACCACCGCCCCCAGTGCGAAGGAAGGTCAATGCTGCTCCCTAGTGGCACCGGGCTCAGCGCAGACCCCCCCATTCACAGTGGCATTTTCTCCTGCTCCTTCTTGTCTTACCCTGTCAGCGTTTCCATTAAAAATCCCGATATTACAGACTGCAAAAATTTATTTTCCCTGAAACCTGACAAGTAATTTATCGTCTTTTCCAGAATTTCTATCAGACACTGGCGTTTCAACCCCACAAATATTATCATCAGACTAAAACACAAAATGTATGAGACATGATCCATCATTGGAGGTTTACCTACTATTAAATTTATTTGGGTTTTAAACCTTAGCATGATTATTTAACAAGTATAAATATCTTCTAGAATTTAAAGAATAAAGAAATAAATTCTAAAATGCAATAAAAATATTCTATTAAAGGGTAAAGAAAAACTAAAATACAATTGAAAGTAAAAACATAAAGACACTTCAAGTCCTATGCACTTCTGAATGGACACTTTAAAACCTGCATTGTGAAGCAAATAAACTGTTTAAATTTGGGCAACAATTACTGCACATAGCTTTGAAGCATTATGAAACACCCCTTTTATTGCTTTACCCTCATCTTGACCCACACTCTTCTCTCAGTCCCTATTCTTGTGAAAAAAAGATCTTTGCATGCAATTCCCCTTTGAAACTTACTGCTTTTAATCATCCTGGAGCGACATATGTTGCACCATCCCATCAAGAGCTGAGCAACTTCCTTCCAAAGCACTCAACCCTTTTTCAACAAAAAGACTCAGAAAATTGAGATCTAGGCCAGAGAATTTTGCTGGCCACAAAATATGTAGCCATTGCTTTCTACCAAGCACACTGAGGACCTACACTCATCAGCCTCTATTCACAAAGATCAGTGCACTACTGTACAATTAATCTCATTTTAACAAAAAGACTTGTAAAGTAAACTGTCACTCAGTATAATCAATATAAAGAGGAGACTGCATAAATGTTCACACCTAATGTTATATTTTTCCTTTCACAGTGTAATTGGACTCCCAGAAGAAGAGGACTGGCCTAATGATGTTGCCCTTCCAAGAAATGCTTTCACTTCCAGACCCGCACAACCTATTGAAAAATTTGTACCAGATATCGATGAACTGGGCAAAGACTTGCTTCTTGTGAGTTTCTGTTTGTTGTTCTCCAAGCTGCTTGACTGATAGTTCCCACTGTGCATGCAACACACCAAGAAACATTTATGTTTCCATTTAATGGAGTTATTAAAGAAAAGCTCAAAAGTAGGTAGACAAATTCATGTAAATCTGTGAAACATTAGCACAAAGACATCACTTTTGGCTCAAGAGGTGTCAGAGCTGAGAATAGAATCATAGAATCATAGAATCATAGAATTATTATGGTTGGAAGAGACCTCAAAGATCATCAAGTCCAACCTTCTACCCAACGCCACCATGCCCACTAAACCATGTCTCAAAGCACCACGTCTAAATGTTTTTTGAACACCTCCAGGGATGGTGACTCCACCACCTCCCTGGGGAGCCTGTTCCAATGCTTAACGACTCTTACAGTGGAGAAATTCTTCCTAATATCCAACCTGAACCTCCCCTGGCACAACTTGAAGCCATTTCCTCTTGTCCTATCGCTAGTTACCAGGGAGAAGAGACCCACCCCCTCCTGGCTACAACCTCCTTTCAGGTAGTTGTAGAGGGCGATAAGGTCTCCCCTCAGCCTCCTTTTCTCCAAACTAAACAACCCCAGCTCCCTCAGCCGCTCCTCATAAGACTTATTCTCCAGGTCCTTCACCAGCTTTGTTGCTCTTCGTTGGACACACTCCAGCAGCTCAATGTCCTTCTTGTAGTGAGGGGCCCAAAACTGAACACAGTATTCAAGGTGCGGCCTCACCAGTGCTGAGTACAGGGGGATGATCACTTCTCTGATAGTTAGAGACTAGGAGACTGTCTCAGGGAAGTACCTGTTTGACCTGTCTTTAGATCATATGCTTAGATCCTCATCCACACTGTTGTGCCACTGATTCAGCCATTCTTATAGTATAAGCCTGACGTGAGTACAAAAACTGATTACCATTTTTCATGGTATAGTGGACCCAGTATAAAGCAGAAAATAGGCTGTAGAGGCAGATTACATCTGCATGCCTTCTACTGACCGCTGAAAACTTGAGATTTGGAATTCACCAGTTGTTGCCTCTTACAAATGGCAGGATTGAACAGAAGCAAACAAATTGTGCTGGTACAACTGGTAACACTGAATTCAATTAAATTATTTCCATCATTTTTATAGATACTGTATAAATCCCAGCCCTAAAGTTCAGTCTTGGAATGGAATATAGCGAACAGCCTTGCCTCAGTTTGCCTTCTTCCGTGCTTGTGGAAATCTAGCTAAATTTGTTCTCTGGAAACCCTTAAAATATCTTGGTTTATATGGGCTCCACACAGTGGGCTCAGTGCAACCCTTGAAAAACTTGCTGCGTTCCTTCAGGAACTGCTGTTTCTGGCCAACATTATCTCTACAGAACAGCAGATCATTCTCCATTGTCCTTATGACTGCAGCTCCCAGCTGTGGTAAGCTGGACTACATCTGGACACTTGAAATGACAGGGGAGAAACACATCTGTTGTGCTTACAGGCAGCCTGGAAAGGGAAGATAGACATGGGACAAGAATTAGATCCTGGGAACAACAAGGAATAAAATATGGCAGAGAGCTTCAGTCCATGTGAGGCATGATAGCAGGGAGGAAGATGACAAATATCAGTGCCTAGAAGATGAGGTGGGAAGGGAAGCTGTTCCTGTTAGGCAAAGAGATGAGAACTGGGAGCCACAGATGAAAGGGGAGAGTAGGACTGGAAGTCACTGAATTAAATTGCAGACATTAAATGACACAAATTCTGATACAAGAAAAGAAAGTAGGAGTAGGAAGTGGTTAGACAAGGATAGTAGGAAGAATAATATTTGGAGGTGAAAGAAGGAAAAGAGAAGAACAAGGTATAAAACGCAAGGCTATGGGAGAGATTTCAGTGCTGGCTGGACAAAAGCTGGGATAAGGATCTGGAAAGGACGCAAGCAAAGTATCATTAGGAAGAAGAAGAAACTGAACACAAAACATTAGTGTACAAAGGGTATAAAGCCAAAGACCTGACACCTATAGAAATGCTGAGCCTAGGAATGAACATGTACCTTATGATGCCATCCATGTTTAGATAACCACAAAAGAATAGTGCATTGAACACTGAGGGGATTCAAAATTCCTTCATGAATAGTTGCTCCCTGCAGTCTGTGAGATAGATATCCTGTGTATGTGAATTCAAGAAAGCCTGAATTCTGGGATTTCCTACGCTAGGAACACTTGAATTTTCTAACTGGTTATTTTCTATTAGCTTTGGGAATGCCATATTCATATATTAAGACCTCACTGCTTGTTTTAATTTGGATGGTCATCTTATTGTGCAGCACCTACTGAGACCCTATTGTGTCTCAAACTGATCATAAATTGAAGGTGGCATGCAATGTGCAATGTTAGCACTGTTAACTGTACACTTTAGTTAAAACTAACTTCTTTTCCTACTTACAGAAATGCTTAGCATTCAATCCAGCCAAGAGAATATCTGCCTATGTTGCCCTCTCTCACCCATATTTCCATGATCTGGAGAAATGCAAGGAGAATCTGGACTCTCACATGTCATCCAGCCAAAACTCCAGTGAGGTGAATGCATCATAATGCTGACTGAAGATGAACCACAAATGAACAAGACGTGTAGCTGACAAGGCCACTGTCCCTTACAAACCACATAGCTGTTCTAGTGAAGATCATTATTTGGAGGTTTTATGCACTTATCTCTTATTTGGGGATTGTGATGTGCTTATCCAAGGAAATCAATCTAGTTTACTTTCATCAGAGCAACGCAAGGGCCATGGCTTTGACCTGCTCCCATTGCAGCTTTATGTTTGTTTTGGTTTTGTTTTGTTTATCTACCTGGTAAAACTCCAGACGAAGAGAAGCTGCTGACCGGTTTTGCTGCCATTTTATCCTTTTAATATTGAATGCTGCCAGTGTGGAGTAGGATGATCGAGTCACTGTCAAAACATGATGCAATCTCTCTCTCTAGCTGCTGAAGCATGATTTGGTACTTTTTTTATTATTATGATGTGATCTGTTACAGTGATATTTAAAGAATGGCATTGAAATATCAGATCTCAGCAACCTGCAGTTAACTGATATATGCATTAATACATCCAGCTACTGTTCATTCATGGCATATATGCAGGTGCTTCCCCACTTGAAAACTTGGATGGATTATCATTGCATTGCTCTATAAAAATAACAGTGATGATGGTGATCATAATAAATGTCTCGATTTTTAGGTTTTTTCAGACACAAACGAGTTATTATCTAGCTACGTTTGTGTGCATGTTGCAAAAAACAAATGTTTTGAAAAACTTCGAGTCCTGTTCTTAAAGACTCTTTCCGTTTCCAAATGGTCAGCTTGTGTTGAAATCCAGGCACATTCCAGCCTATCATCTAACCCATCATTCCCCCCTGGAAACAGCTGCAAGCACATTTTCATTATCTCATTCCAAATTTTCTGATATGCAGCTCAAAGACATGAGCAGAGTCAATGAAAGTCAATACAGATTTTTGCCTTCAACTTGTTCTGATTATCAGCTGAAACGAAAACAGAACAAATATTTCCAGTTCAGAAGCAGAGAATCCTATACTTGTAATAAGTACAGATACGTATTTGTGCTGAATTGTATGCTGTATACTGCGCTGCCTTACCTGCAACACCTCCCCATGCATCATGAGTACCTGAACATTACTGTCTCAAAATCCCTCAGATGTCATTTATTAAGCAGACTTGTTTTCTATGCAGAAATGCATGAGCTGCTCTCCTAAACCACCATGTGGGTATACTGGCACATGCTTCTCCACTAGGGTTAATGTGCCATTATTGAATGTCAAAATAAGTAAGAAATTCACATGCCTTTATAGCACAGTTATTTTAAATATTACAATAAATTTTTATATTTAGTATTTTTACCTTAACTAAAATATATTTTCAGTGTTTTTAAAAGAAGCTTTTATTTTTTTAATACTGTACTGGGAAAAAAAAGAAATATTTAAATCCATAAAAGTTCTTCCCTAGCATGGCTTTAGTGCATTTACCTGGATATGACTTGGGGGAAAATATTGGTCCAACAAGTTAGCCCCTACCATAAAACCATAAATATCCACTATTGCAGCATAACTGGTGACAAGTGAGGCAGCTAGCTTTGCTTACTCCTGTGACAGTCCCTTAGGCTTCTCTCTTCCTCATCTCTGTTTCATCTTGTCTAGCTAGTGAGCCAGCATTATATCCTCATTCACAGCATGCTTGGCAGCAGCTGGTCCTTAGCAGTGAGTTGAGCAATATAATTTTTCCAGTCGTGGCATGGGAACTTGTAACTGTTTCCCTGGCAGGTTTGTCGGTCCTGTGATAGACTGACTGTTGTGGCAAACTTCACTGTTAACTGTTTCAGGTATCTGCACTGTTTGGGACATGGTCCATCGCCAGCATAGTGAGTGGTTCTTACCTGTCTCTTGGAGAAAGCTTTTTGTTACTGTTAGACACATAAGTGTGGGATCTATGGTTAAATTAGGTCTATTTTAAATAAGCCAGATTTTAAAAGGACCACTTGCATGCACGCATGCAGTGGCCTGTGCTTTTCTTCATGCCCAGAATGATGCCTATGCAAAACCTACCAGCATGAACAGGCAAGTTGCAAATTAGGCCTGGCAAGAGCATGCACGAGGCGTCTGTACACAGAGATACTACAGATGCATAACATAAGAATTTTGGAAGCTCTGTGAGCGGCAAGCTGAAGGCCAGGGAGCAGTCATGGCAGCTAACCCTCTAATCTTGGCCTTGCCTCTGTCATTCTCTCTGTTCCTACATCCAAGGGGAACTGCGAACCCTCTGCACTGGTCTTGTCCCAGCCATATTCCTCCATGGTTCAGTGGACCTGAATGTAAATAGGTTTTAACATGCATAGAAAAGGATGGGCCAGAGTGAAGTTTTTGCTAACCGTTTTTAAACACTAATTAGAACAACAAACAGAGCCAAAATTCAGGAGAATCCTGCGACAGTAACAAATCAAAAAGTTTTCTACACAGTTCATCACTTTTAAAAACATTCCACATTTTACCTACCACCGAGCTATCATACATACTTTATCAGGTCATTCAGCTGGTGTGGCTTTCTAGTAGCTCAGGGAACTCTCCCAGAGCTTTCTGACAACTAACATAGGGTGAAAATACAGGGGAGGAGAGTATTTTCAAATTAGGCTCAAAACTCTCAGAGAGAGATGTGCATCTGTTCCATGTTAGAAGAGCTTGTTGTATTAAGCTTAGCAAAGCAGAATATGATTGCTGAATGTACATACATTATTCAGGTAAAACAAAAAGGAGGGAAGAGAACACTTTAAGCCAAAGGTTAGTGTTGGCTCAAAAACTAATGAGAATATGGAAATCACAAGGAAGTTAACTACTGGAGCAGTATTTCCCAGTCAGTAGTATCAAAAGAGCTCAGAGAGCAGCAGAGAAAAGCAGGGGCTGGCTTATGGAACCAGAAGCAGAGCTTCTGCAACGTGGTGCTGTATGTTGTCTAATATAGGATCAGGTTGTAAACTGGGGTATTCAGGAGAACAGCTTGAGAAGGGCTGCATTAGCGGTCACATTCTGGAACATCCTTCTAGTGGGAATGGCAGGAATAAAAAAAGAAATCTACGTTCTGTCTTGGCAGGGTTAGGGAAAAGATTTGTCTAATGGTGTCCTTGTGGTAGCAAGGCCTTAGATTCAAAGGACTAATGACTTTTCGAATGACTTCCTTTTCCAAGTCTCTTTAGGAAGAAATTCTGTTTGACACACCATGGGCTTACTCTTATTCCAGTCTTCCCTGCCAAACCGTAGGGCTTCACTTACACTGGTGAATTGAGAAAGCCTGTTCTCTGGCTGGGCAAAGTGCTGGCACTTGCTAAAATCATGCCAGGAATCGTGCTCATAATTAGATAGTACAGACAACTGTGGGACTGTGCTCAAGCCACGCCCATGCTCTTTTTATTTTACCGGTATAGTTCTAGTATTTTACTACCTTTACTCGTTACTGTCGTATGTGTAGGACATAGGAATTTTATCTGTGAAAAAGAAAGTGCTCCTTGACATGCATGATCCAGACTGTGATGAAAACTCTTTGTAGACCCTTTAAATAAGATTTCAGAGTTCAATTCTTCTTAGCAATAATTATGCCTGTTTGTGTTCTACAGGAGCAGTTCAACAGCAGCTAAAACCCACTGAATAACAAAAAATACATTCAAAGTAAGTATAGATGTTTAACGCCTAGAGCACCCACAACCAGGCACTGTGCTCTTCTCAGCAGAGAACAAGGTGTTCTAAGTAATGGAAGGAGCAATTTCTGTCTCCCCACCCACCTTTTTTTCACTACTACACAATTCTGCAGGAAGAACAGACTCAATAGCCAAGGAAAAAAAAACACCAAAGCCAGCTAGTGAAGTGCTAATTGCTGAACCATAGCAATACATCTGGAGCAGCACTTTTCTCTCTTCACCCTGTCTCCACGCTCACTCTAGCTCTCCAATTCTTCTCCTTCAGCTCCCTTATGGAAACAGGTTTCAGTGACGCTCACAGCTGCTGTTTCCAACAAGATTCTTCCACATTTTCAATAGCTACACGGTGTCAGTGTCCCCTATCTCCCTGTTACCAAGTGTTGCTTCTTTTAGTCCAACAGACCAGAACCAATGATTAAAAAAGAATCCCTTTGTGTACCCCTTTGCTTACGCTTAGTGTTGCATACACCTGTGTTGCCTTCTGTGTGCCAGGTAAAATTCTAAAAATAGGGTTTGTGTGTCTTTCTGTGTAGGCTGTGCCCACACTCCAGGTTTTTTCAGCCTATTAGTCCACAGTGGTAAATGTTAGAGTACCTTCCTCTGTTCTCTCTGTCCTAAAACACACCAAAAAATGAGGACGTCATGTTTGAAAAATATTGAAATTTGGTGCTATGTGTACAGAGCCTTTTACATGAAAGGAATCAGTAAGCTGTAGCATTTGAGCATCTTCTGCATAGGGGATGGTATCCAGCATTGTAACTCTTATGTGGTTTTTAAACTCGGAGGTTGTTTGGGTGAATAAGAAGAAAATACTGTGCCATGCTACTTTGCACAGGTTCACTCACTGTCTTTGATAAGCATGTTTTATTATACATATAATTCTCTCTGCTGTTAGGTATTAGGCCAACTTTAATACAGAAAATAAAGAGAAAACATGCTGGTTTGGTCTTTTAGCCAACAAACTTGGAGCACTTATCTGACTCACAACTGAAAACACGTCAGTTGTCAAATATGTATATGAATCATAAACCACATGGTTTGGTTTAAAAGGCTATGTAAATTAATTATGTTCCATGTATAAGGCACAGTTGAATACCGAGAAAGTTTATTCTAAGAACTCTGTTTTATAGAACCACTTCGCTACTATTTTTCATATACAGTAGTTTCAGGAATAGATTGAATTTTATATACAATGTGAATTAGAAGATACTAGGTTATTACAGTGATTTTGTTGTGTTAAGCTTAAAGCTTGAATTGATCACAAGCTTAGGAACCTAACATATTTATTTTATTGCTACAAAACTGCTTCTAAATATCAAGATCTCTTTTGATCTTAACAGGATTTCACACTTCTCTTAATGTGTAAATTATTTTCTTGAAATCAGTATATTAGAAAAAAAAAAAATGTTTTTCCAAACTGCAATTCTGCAGGAAAATTTAAGAAATATATTTTTACTTTCAGAGAGAATAACAACATGTTATATACTGAAATCTTCAGTAACTGACTGGTAATAAGCTATCACTTTTACTTCTTTTTAATTACTAAGTATTGGAGTATATAGGTTACTTTCCATGAAGAAAAAATTCAGAAACCATCTCTAGAAAAGCAAATGGGATTTTTTATGTTTAACCTTCCAAGTTTCATTTTTGTATCCAGTTTTTTGTGCAAATACAGTTCAGGTGTGCAAAAGCACGACTACAATTTTAGCAGTCTAACAGGCTGTGCAACTCAAATACAAGTTTTATTTGTGAGATACTTATTTTATTATATCTCTTTGTTTTGCAGATGGTTAGATAATGGCTGTAATATAATTCTAGTTTCTGGACCAGACTCTGTAACCATCAAATCCCAATAATTTATGTAAAACAGTAAGAAGCTTTCTCATCAATTTAAATTAACTAGGCCATTAAAAGAAGAAAGATGTGGACATATGAACTGACAAATATACTTTTGCCAAGTGTTATTTCTTCCCTTCAGTTTGAAGCTTAGCAAGTATTGCATACTGATATGCAATATATACACAATACAAGAACCATAAAAAACACTTAGGAGTAGTGTGCACAGATAATATAAAACATGGTTCATTAGGTTCTTGCAGAAACCAGCCAAAATCATTCTTTTAACTGGAACACTCAAAATTTTGAAATTGATATATTTTTCCATTAAAAAAATATTCCTGAAAATTATGTATATGCTTTTAATTCAGACA